GCCGATGCACCGCACTGTGGAGATGATGTTGCATCTCTTGCTGTTGAGATTCACCTGGCCGTGGGTCCCTTCAAACTGTACATTGTGTACAGCAGGGCATTCTGTAGGACCTTAGACATCAGCCAGGTCTGTGCTATTGCAGCACATGACCGAGTGATCATAAGGGGAGACTTTAATGCATACCACCATGGCCTGGCTCCCTGCTGGGCACCAAATGTGATTGCCTATCACATAGCCAACATTTCCTGAGATCACTCTTCTCAACACCCAAGAGCCAATGCATGTCAGAGGGGTCCTAGACTTCACTCTGGCCACTGCAGCTCTGGTGGAGAGAATCAGATGGTGTGTCGATGAGACTGTCACAAGTGCCAACTGGGAGGCATTTCAGAACGCCTTGGCCCACTGTCTGATATGCAATGAACCCCCCAAAGTGAAGATGTGGAAATACTTGAAGCCAGACTTATGAATGCCATAAACCAAGCAGTCTCACAGACTATACCTAAAACTTGGCTTGGTCCAGGAGTCCCAAAGATGCGTGGTACTCAACGGCGAAATTGAGGTCAACCACAGAGTGAACATGTTCCGAAAACAATTCCGAAGGCAAAGAACCCCTGAAAACCTAGCCCTCCTAAGGGAAACTGCCAGGGATGCCAAGGAAACTGCCAACAGAGTCAGACAGGAAAAGTGGCTGGAATGGAGTGAGTCCTTCAAAACCAAACCACACATTACGACCCTCAGTCAGAGGCAAACAGACTGGTGCATGAGCTCTCGGTGAGAACATGCAGCTACAGTCTGCCAGCCGAACTGAGGGCAAACCAAGAATGCCTACAACCAGGCAGACTTGCTCTTATCAGAGAAAGGTCAGCCAAACCTGATAACTCAGATGTTACCTTTTCTCTGAGGGAACTAAGAAAAACAGTTCTCGTTCAGCCCCGGGTTCTGATGGGATTTCGTACCCCATCATTGCCCACCTAGGACTGGCAGGAGAGCTTGCACTCTAGCAACTCATCAACAAGTCCTGGGAAACTTCCACTCTACACCAGAGCTGGAAGAGGGTTACCATAGTTCCCATCCCAAAACCAAAGTAGCCAGGGAAGTACCACCCCATCTCTCTCCTCAGCTGTCTGGCTAAGACGGTTGAGAGGATGGTACTAAACCGACTTCAATGGAAAATGGGACCCCCACATGAACACCTCCATGAATTCACAAGGGACATGGGCACAGCACACAGCATAGCCACGCTCTTAAGCATAATCAACACTATTAGCACATCTGTGGTATTATTCCTGGAGAAGGCTTTTGAATTAGCAAGTCCCCTTGCCATTCAGGAGACCCTGATCCAGAAGGGAATCAGAGGAAAGCTCTTGGTTTGGATAGGTGACTACTTCAGGAACAGAACAGCCAGATTCAGATTCCAAGGTCACCTATCACAGCACATACCACTAGAAAATGGAACGCCACAGGGTGGGGTTCTCAGTCCAGCCCTATTCAACACCCTTATGTCCTGTATCCTCAACATATACCTCACAGTGGGGTGCAAGATCATCTATGAAGACAATCTTGCAATCAATACCACTGGAGTACACTGCCTAATCAAAGCCCAGCATTGTCTAGACCCTGTAAGACAGAACTAAAGATCTAAATCAAAAGCCATGGCTCTAAGACACAATGTTAAAGTCACAAGTCTGAAAATCCAGGGAATGGACTTGGAGTAGGTCCAGGACT